ATTGATCTTATTAGAGAAATATCTGCTACGTGTATCAATTACTAAAACACAGTTCGGGAAAATAATTCATTGGCCGGAGTGGCAACACCCGACCCCCTTTCTGAAAATGTTGAGAGAAGGAGAAGAGAGCTGGAGAGAATATTATTAGCATTTCTTAACCTCTCAAAGAGGCATTTTATGGTTGAATTTAGTTTTCCTATATGTGTTTTTTTTTTTTTTTTTCAAGTAGAAAGAAAAAATAAAATTATACTTCATATACTACATCCAGACCATTTTAAGTGTCCCTATCCTTTTACTAAAAATATTTTTAATCAAACAAAACTACCCTACAAGAATTATGTGTATGGAAAAATTAAAATTATTATTTACAAAAAAAATATTATACAATTTAAACGATACTAAATTATGTAATACTGACTCTTAGACGAAATTATCAAGAGTTCTTCATCTAATGATTCCTTATTTATATGTTATATTAAGCCCAAAACCAAATGGAGCCTAATACAGAGGCTCAAAACTAAAATTCGGGTGGAGCCTGTACAAATCATGAATTTCAGCCCAACCTGAAACTTTTTGTGACCCGAGCCCACTAAACAGACGGTATTTAGGGTTTAACACTACTATATAAGTCTGAAAACGAAAAAGCCCTAACTCGTCTTCCCCCAAGAGTCGCCGCAGCCCCCGGTAGAGAAAGGGCGAAGAGGGTTTCAAGTCGGATCGAGAAGCAGATCTCAGTGCGTTTCCACCATGAGAGCTAAGGTATGCGTCATGTTTCAGCCATTATTTCTTTAATCTTTGGTTGATTTACAGTTGAATGGTAGTGATTTTGTTGAAATCGCGATCTGGGTCTGTGTCGTTTCAGTGGAAGAAGAAGCGTATGAGGAGGCTGAAGAGGAAGCGCCGAAAGATGAGGCAGAGATCCAAGTAATCTTCCCAGCAGTAGTAACAAATCCGTGTCTTTTTTTTTTTTCTAATTTTTCCCTGGGTTATTAGTGTCTTGTTGTTCAATCAGTACTGTTTAAGGATTTGTCCTGTTATCTTTCTTTACATTTTGTTTGAATCTTGAACAATTTTAGCACATCACTTAGCAATGCCATTGTGTTTCCATTAGTGATTATCTTGAGAATTGCAGTTAATTGCACCCTGTTTGATGTTTCTCTATCTATTTCAAACATTGTGTTTTAGTTTGGGAAAAAGTGTTTTTTTAAAGGTTGTTTTCTTAAATTTATTCTCGAAGGACATTGCTATAATTAAAATATGCCATAATTAAAATATATATTAATAAATATAATTTTTTAAATAAAGAGTTATAAATATTAGATAAATAAAAAATATTATAATCACTTAATGTTATTAAAGGTAAAAAACAAAATTGAAATTTATTAAATAAATATTAATTAAAAAATGTGACCAAAAATTAAAAAATTAAAAAAGATAAATTGATCAATAAAATTAAAAAATTCTAATCCATTAGTGGTTTGGTACAAAAAGTTACATAAACTAACTTTTTCAATTCGCCAGCGGTTTGGACTCTAACCGTTAGGAGTGTTCACGATGTGGTTTGGTTCGAATTTTATTATTTTTTAAACCAATTTAATTTAATTGGTTAATAAAATTTTTAAACCAATTCAATCCACTATTATGTGATAACCAAACCAATCCAATTTAAATCGGATCGGTGTGGTTCGGTTAGATTGATCAGTTTTTAATATTATTAAATATATAAGATAATGTAAAAATATTTTAATATCAAATAGAAAGTATAATTATAAAATAAATTAACATCCAAATCAGTAAAAATATAATAATAGGTAAA